GATCTAGAGAAATCACTCCTAAATTTCATCTGGAACCAGAAGAGACCTAGAATCGCAAAAGCAATTCTAAGCAGCAAAGACAAAGCAGGAGGCATCACAATCCCTGACTTGAAATTATACTACAAAGCAACAGTAGTAAAATCAACATGGTATTGGAATCAAAACAGAGCTGAAGATCAATGGAATAGATTAGAAGATACAACCACAACTACAAACACACGCAACCACCTTATCTTTGATAAAGGAGCCAAGCAGGTTCACTGGAAGAACGACAGTCTCTTTAATAAATGGTGCTGGAAAAACTGGCTCTCCATTTGCCGAAAACTAAAGCTAGACCCATGTCTATCACCATGTACTAAATTAAAATCTAAATGGGTCAAAGATCTGAATATTAAAACAGAAATGCTAAATCTATTGGAAGACAAATTGGGTAGAAACCTTGGAGACATAGGAGTAGGTAGAGAATTCATGAACAGGACTCAAACTGCACGGGAAATACTTCCCAGAATCAATAACTGAGACCACTTCTTATTAAAAAGTTTCTGCATGTCAAAAGAAATCTCCAGCATAGTGAAAAGAAAACCCACAAACTGGGAAAAGATTTTAGTGAACTCTCTCTCAGACAAGGGACTCTTGTCTAAAACATATAAAGAATTAAAAAAACTCAGACCTCCAAAATTCAAAGATCCAATCCAAAAATGGGCATCTGAGATGAATACGCAATTCTCAGATGAAGAAATGCAAATGGCAAATAAATACATGAAAAAATGCTCATCATCATTGGTCATTAGAGAAATGCAAATTAAAACCACACTGAGATACCATCTCACTCCTGAAAGAATGGCCAGGATCAAGAAAACCAACAACAACAAATGCTGGAGAGGCTGTGGGGAAAAAGGAACTCTCCTGCACTGTTGGTGGGAGTGGAGACTGGTACAGCCTTTGTGGAGGTCTGTCTGGAGGTTTCTCAAAAAGTTGGGACTGGAAATCCCATTTATTCCAGCTATTCCACTTCTAGGCATATTCCCAGAAGAACTGAAAGCATCATACCACAGGGATATATGTGCACCTATGTTTATAGCAGCACAATTTGTAATCGCCAGATCTTGGAAACAACCCAAGTGTCCATCAACTGAGGAATGGATAAAAAAGTTGTGGTATTTCTATACAATGGAGTATTATTCAGCTATAAAGAAGGATCACATTGAGATATTTATCAATGAATGGGCGCAGCTTGAGACCATACTCATAAGTGAAATAAATCAATCTTGCATGTATGAATACCGAATAGTTTCCCTAATGTAAGTAATGATTCAAATATATAAAAATATGTGATAATCATGATTCCCCATTATGTGGCCTTGAAGCCTTATAAAATTTTCACTTATTAATTAGAAAGGCTTTATTCTGGGCTTCTTGATATGGAAATTTTGAAGCTATAGTATATGAAGTTTTATCCAAATATTTTAAGGAAAAAGACAGACACTACGGTAACTACTATTCTTTAAAAAAATTATTTAGCTATTTCTTATGTTTATTTTAACTAAGGGAAAAATTAAAAAAATTAGGATATATAATAGTAACTCTTTTCAATCTCCTATTAACTTGTTTTGAAGTCCTGTAATACTCCCACGATCTTGTTTTGACTGATTGGACTCTGTTCCATTCTGTGCGATAGTAGCAAGTCTGAGGGTATAGGCAACTAATTTGAAGGCAATAAGATTCACAAAGATGCCCATTCTGGTTTGACTATTGTCTCCTTTGGAAGTCCTGTAATGTTCACAATGCCTAAGTTTTATTGGTCTTGTTCTCCACTGTTTTGTCCAACTTTATAATATCTAATGAGATAGACAATTCCTTTTAAGGAAACAAGAGACAACGTTGATAACCATTGTTAATAACCTTGTACTCCGTTCTACATCATGTGCTATGTCTATCCTTGGTTTTGACTTACAGCTTTGTTTTGCCATATTTGACTTTATTCTCCCCCCCCCCAAAAAAAAAGTAATAAGAACTAAGGAGTAATAAAATCCAAAATGTGTAAATTTTGTTGTAAAAAAGAGAGGGAGGAAAAAAAAAAGAGCTCTAACGGATATAACAGCAAGTGTGTTTAGGGGTGTTAAATAGCTGACTATATTAATGTTTTTGGATCATTGAACACAGCTGTTTGCAGTCTCTCTGTTTGAATGTCTACTTTGTATTCTTTGATACTGTCATTTGAGCAACTATTTCCAAGATGATAATATGTAATCTATTAACAGGTGATTTCTTACTGTTATTTTTTTTGTAGTTCTGTATTATGTGTAACCTTACACTGCTTTGTTTTGTTTTGTGTTTTTCTCTTTTTCCTCTTAAATAAAAAAAAAAGAGATTCAGGGATCCAGAGGGTGGTGAAAGAAGCTGGATGTTTTGTGTACACATAAGGACTCTACACAAAGAATGTAAACATTTGGTATTGCAACCACACATTAAAAAGGCAGAGGATCAAGAGATGGGTGGAGCAGGAAAAGAGAGATAGGAAAGAATATGAAAAAGGAATCGAGATGTGTTATGGAAAGGTACCAACTTCCCACAAGCAGTGTGAACATTACATACTACACATGTACCAATAGACAGAACTAAAATAAGTAACTAAAAGTGGAAAAAGAAGCAAGCTGTGTTATACACATGTACCTGTTCTCCCAGATGAACATAAACTGCATGTAGACTAAGTATGTGCTGACAAAATTTTAAAAACAGAAAAGCAACACTTTATTTGATAAACAAATGAGAAGGAATCTGTAGGACTGACATAACATAGGCAGAATTACCATGTACTGGACTAAAGTTACACACCCATACTCACATGCACACACACACACACACACACACACACACACACACACACTCCGGACATTACATAGATGAAGCTTCTGGCTTTTCCAGGGTGGCAGTGCTTCTGGGCATCAAGATGTTTCACAGGCAGGGAAGTAGATGGCTTTTCTGTGGGCTGGGTTGTGTCAGCCTTGGACTATGGCTGTAACACCTGTTAGGAGGCCATTGCTGCAATGTGCTGTACACATGTCCTGCCAAAGGTGAGGGCTGCTGAGAAATCATCTTACCCACGGGAATGGTGCCAGCATTCCAAAAAGTTGTGATTGTCTCTCCCCATTTCTCTAGTTAGGGCCTTATCAGATTTATCCAGGGATGATCTGACCTGATAACATGTGAGATCTCACTCAGTGACAATGTCTGGCTTCCTTCAGTTCTCATTTTACAAAATCTGCTTGAGGTGGTAAAACTCAAGGGGAGGTGTTGTACTAAGGATTGTTTTAGACAACAGGAACATTGAATAAATTCTATATATATTCAACATTTTCCTTAAAGTATGAATTGAAGCTTGCCTCCCCTTTTAATAATTTATGTCATGAATGACTTCATGGATGCAATGCTTACAAATACTTGTTTTTAAATTTTTTAATTTTATTGAAAATAAAATAAGACACAACAACAACAAACACCAGAATAAATCCAATCAAAACAAAACAGTGAAACTGGTAGAGAACTTCAGAGCAAGATACTAGGAAAACAACAATGGCCACATAGGATAACTTGTTACCTTCACACAAAAACTAGATTAGATTTAAATTTTTCCTTCTTCCTTTTTATTCCACATCAGCTAGAATAATTCTTTAGACAGTCTTTTCCATCATTTTTTTCATTTCAAAGCCTCACAATAGAGGCCAGTTTAGAGCTCCAAGACTAAGCTTTGAAGACACTGGGGTACTGTTTCATGGAGACCCCAGCCTGTTCCATTTCACAAATGAGCAGAAGCTGCAGAGCTCTCATTTTGCACAGTCCTCAGTGTAATGGGACAAGACACAGAGTGACAGTCGTGTGGATTCTCTTCTGGGAAAAATCTCATGGGCTTTCACTGAAAAGCTGGTATTGCTTCTGACCAAAGGTTCATCAAAGCCGATTTCTTACTACTGTAATTGCTTTATTAAGTGAGAATATCTTTTGAATTCTATTCATTCAGTTTTCCTAACACTGTGTTCTTTTTTTTATAATTTTGTCCTGAATCCAGCTTTGATGAGAAAAAGGTAAATTATGAAGGGCATGCCGCTCTGGTCCAAACTGATACCCTCAGTCCCACAGAGAAAGATTAGTTGCACAACCTCTAGTGATGCCAGATTCCTGCTGTTGTCACTGTTTGTCATGCAATTTAGAGAGCATGACAGGTCCAAGGCCTGTTGATAAGATAATTCATCAAATAAACTCATAATCTAACACTGTTTCAGCAAGGAATAATTGGTGTTTTACAAAATGCCAACATTTTCATGATGCTTATATAGAATACATTAGATCTCAACGGTCAAACTAAGACACAGGTCTGTGTTCTTAATGCAAAGGAGCTTTGGTTTCAGAATTTTGCCCTCTGTTTTAGATAGGCAAGATTCCCAGCCCGAGGACTTGCATAAACTGAGGGAAATATTCAGTGCTGATGACCAATCACAGAAGTTCAGTGTTAACTCAGTATAAAAGTCAAGAGAAGAAGATTTTCAAGGCAAGATAAAGTTTCATCTGCAAATGTTGATTTTTAAGTTTTAGGAGAAAACATCAGGGAAACATTTAATAGCTTCTTTGGAGTTAAGGGGAGAAGTTTGATTTACAACTATTAAAGTAAATACATAATAAACAGCATAAGTTTCACACAGAAAACTACCTAAGATTGTAATGATTTTTCCGTATTATCTAGTAATCCCATTACTTGTACATAAAACAGGAAATAAAACTAACATGTGATAGAGATACTTGCACTCACATTGCAGAATATTTTAGGTGCCACAAATAAGAAAAATATGACACTTGTTCTTAGGTATTTGACTTATTTTTCTTAGCATAAGGTCTTCCAGTTGGCTCTATTTTGCATCAGCAAATGATGAGACTTTTATTTATACCATAACATTTCTTCATCTATCTACGTATACATGTACACCTAGGCTGATTCCTTATCTTACCTACTGCGAAAAGAACCGGGTGTGGCTGAGTGGTAGAACACTTATCTAGGCATAGATGAGGTCCTGGTTCTGATTTGGAGCACTGCAAAAACAAAAACAAAAATCAATATACTCTTCAAAGTTACTATATGATACTTAAGTATTCACACCACAAAAAGTCCTGATTACAGGACTTTTGAATTACAGGTTAACTAGCTCAAGGTATTCATTCTACAACTTCTAATATTTCAAAACTTAGCCTTGTATATGATAAAAGTATGCATTTTTTGTCAGTGTAAAAGCTAAACTTAAAAACTGCATTGCAAAAAAACAAAACTGAACATGATTTTTAAAAGGAGTTCCTTTTTTTAATCTTTTTTTTTATTTAAAGAAAAGGAAACAAAAAAATACATGGAGATAAGGACCCTTTCTGAATACTTTTAAGAAACAAGTAATGGGAGAGGAAATCCCAAAGGAAACTTAGCAATTAGCAAGGACTGTCTTAATGAAGATGTAAAAACAGAAGCCAATTTCTTTTGGAAGGATAGAGGCACTATCAAGAGGTAAGGATTTCTAAAAGAAGAGATAAAGATTTATGCTTATTGATGATTTTTCTCTGACCAACAGAAAGACAGAATAGGGAGCCCATTGAATCAAGTAAGCTACAATCTTTAAATGACAGCGATTGTTTGGACAGAAGGGTTCACAAAACCCCGTCACAGGTTTCGATGTTTTCTTCTCTGAAGTTCCATGAATGCTCTTACAATTGATGTGACTTGAAATTGAGAAAGATAAATCTCCTAGAAGTTACATGGCAGAACTGGCATCTTCTGGGTTTTGGCAGAAGATGCTGGTTTGAAAAAGAAATATTGTCCTGTTCCTTTGGAATACTTGTTTGACTGACAGACACCCCATGACTACAGGCTCCATGAAGGAAGGCAACATTAGCAACTTTTTACAGCAATGGATTTTATGTATTTAGTACAGAGCCTGGCATTTAGTAGGTTTGACAACACAGTCAAATGAATTAATGACATAGTCACCTGGCCATAATTGCAACAGTACACTGGCAAACCTCATATTTGCTTATCACAATATACCTACAATTTTCTTCATATTTTAGGATTCTCATTTGCATTGCCTTATAACTTTCTTCTTATATTGAATCTTGGATCTAACTTTTTTTTTTTTTTGCTTTTTTTTGAAAGCTAAAGTTCATGCTAGATCTACTTTATGAGAATAAGATCATGTCTTTACTCAGGAACTGAAATTCAGATATGAAAAATGGAGAACGTGAAGTACAGGCTGACAAAATATCACTCTTACTGGGATGGAATTACAAATAACTGGCCCACCAGATAATACTCTCTGGTCTTTTCTTCCAGGTAAGGAAGGGGAACAAATGTGGAGCCAGTGCTCGTCAGTAAGGCACCCAGTATAGATAACTCAGTTTACAGAGCATTAGAGTCTCTAGGCTCAGTGCCTGCATTTGTCTGCATGGAGAGAGAGCTTGTTGTATGGTAAACGACCTGGATCTGCATTAAAACAGCTGTGGTGCAGCTGGATCTTTTTCCTTATTTCAAACCAGAACTTGTACCAACATCTGACCTAAGACAAAGGTTCTGACCATGGGGTGCTGGAAATGTTTTACAACTGGATTCTTGGAAAAGAAAAAACAAAACAAAACAGTAGCAAAAGCAAAATCTGATTGTAGCATTTGCCAATTTCCAGGGTCTGTTGTTTTTATCATGTCCAGTTTCCATTCAGCAATGTGGTATCAACCGGCTCACAAAATTCCTGAAATCTTATCAGTAGGCTGCATAAACTGGCATATGTAAACACTGATTCTTTATCCTGGACAGTGTTTATCACATATCTCAGCCCATTATAGAGTTTGCTTTCATTGATTAACACATGCATACTTATATTGATTTATTCAAGCATAATATTGATGAAATATCTTGGGATAGGAATGAAAGATAAAAAGAAGACCCTACCCTGTGTTAACAGTCAACAAAAGACAAACTTTTAAACAAGCAAAGGTTGTCTTAGAGGTATATGCAGGTTTTATGGAAGCACAAATATGAAATCAGGTAAATTAGAAGGCCAAGGATCCTCAGAGTAAGAACTTGAATAATTAATGAGCATGCTTCTGATAAGAAACTACTAAGTATTCAATAATACAAAAGCAAATTAGATTCTTCTATTGAGAGCCACGGAGTCTAAAACAAAAGATAGTAGGCGAGCAGTTGCAATCTGTTGTAAGTACAGTCACAGAATGGATATCAGAAACAGGGATGACTTATAAACAATCATGAGTAAAACTTGCATTGCACAGTATTGATCACAGCCCTCCAGACTGCTGCATAACTCTGTAGTAGGCCATGCAATATCTAGTCTAACCCAAGTAGCATCTTCAAGCTTCCCTAACATGCCTGGGCTCCTTTTTGGGGAATCAAGTGGTACTAGAAATCTCTGTGTTAAATTGAAGATGTGAACACTGTAGCAGTCTTTGCTCATCAGTATGCCTGACTTGTTTTCTGTGCCTTTTTGAAAAACACTGAGATGGAAGTTAAGATTCTATTGGGTGGTAAGAACAGCAGCACCAAATGGAGTCAGGAAGCCCAGGATGGAGTCTACTGCACCACCACCCTCCCCACTAGGGATCTTACAAACACATAGCCAGGTGCCCTGTAGCAGTCAGGAAGGCCCACAAGGCATGATAAGGCCATTGGCTCAACAATGTGTGGTCCCTTCATGGGCAGTACATAGATGAGACGCTGAAAAGTGAGTAGTGTCCAATAGGGTAGAGATGAGATAGCTTGGGAAACAGCCCAAGCTCCCTTTTAATCCCTTTAAACACTCCTAGACAGAGAGCCTTCATGGGTAACCTGCTCAAGAACCCCCTTCTGGCTGGTGGGAGCTCTACCCCCTTGCTTTTAAACTAAGTGTTCTGTTTCCTTGCCTTTGCATCTTTGAAATCAATTTGTTTGCACCCTACCTCCTCTACCTTGTTTCATTCTTCCATCACTTGGGACATAACCCTGCATTCTGGTTTCAGTATTGTATTAACTACATAGTACAGTAAAATCTACTATCTTATTTGCTTGAGTCCTACATCTTGGACCAGTTTGATATCATTTTGTATGCCTTAAACTGCTGCTTATGTTGGGCTCATTAATAAAATCAGTTTTTTGTTTGTAACTTATTTTTTTCTCTTTCTTAAAAATTTATCAGATCCTGTTTTATTTTGTGTTTGTTGAAATAATCTAAAATGTTGCAACAGCCAAAGGGGAAAACGGAGGTTTCTATTTTTAGGCCACAGTTATTCTTCTTACAACCTTCTACCTCATTTGTATCTTTCTATCCTATTTGTAACATTTCAATTTTTCATTATTGCAAAATATGCATCTTTTACCATGTAATAAACTTACTTGTGTTTAGTTAGGGAATGCGTTATCTAGCTTTCTGTCAGTAGTTTTAAAAAACTGAAAAAATTAACCAATAAAGAGAAAAGATTTGCATATATGGTTTTAGAGGTTCTAGTCTAAGATAGGTCAGACCCATTTCTTTTCAGGCCTCTGCTGGAGTGCTGGATGGCAAAGGCAAGGACTGTAGGGAGAGCAAATTGCTTACCTCCTGAGTCAAACATAAAAGTAAAAGATGCAGAGATTAATGCCCCACAATCCCCTGAGGCAGGAACAGGCTTCCCACAATCCCCTGAGGGACGGACTAGTGTCTCAGTTTCCTGAGAAAGGAACCAGGACCCCAAAATTCCCCAAAGGAGGGGCCAGTGTCCGAAAATCCCCTGAGGAAGGAACAGGGGTCACATAATGAGAGAGGAACTAAGGTCCAACAGTTTCGTGAGGAAGGAATAGACATCCCATAACCCCCTGAGGGAGAACCAGTGTCCCACAGTTCCCTGAAGACTAGACCAATGTCCCACAGTTTCCTGAGGAGGAAGGAACTAGGGCCCCATAATCCCCTGAAGGAGGGACCAGTGTCCCACAATCCCCTGAGGAACAGGGATCCCATAATCACTTGAGGGATGGACTAGTGTCCCACAGTTTCCTCAGGGAGGAACAGGGGTCCCATAATCCCCTGAGAGAGGGATCAGTGTCCCATAATTCCCTGAGGCAGGGACAACTGTCCCACAGTTCCCTGAGGAATGACCAGTGTCCCATAGTTTCCTGAGGGAGGAACAAGTGTCTCATAACTCCCTGAGCGAGGGACCAGGATCCCACAATCCCCTTTGAGAACTTTTTCTCAAAGTGAGAATCTGAAGAGTTCACACTCACTGTCACCTCCAAAAGTTCCACAGCCTCCGCAAAGTGCCATTCAGGGAATCACACTGGTAACACATGGACTTTGGGGGTAAAATTTAAAATTCAAATTATATCAACAAGTATTTGCTAAAGGCCTATGATATACGTGTAATAGTACTGGTTGTGCTTGTACTAGTTGTTATAAAATGTAACAAACAACTAATGATATAAGTTCAGAATAACAAAGATAAAACATAAACAAAAACAATCCAAATACTACTCTAAGGGCCCACAAATATACATGCAATAGGTATTAATATACATGTATAATATATGTGTCCTAATCATTTACTTCATCACTGAAACACAATGCCCAAAAAAGCAGCTTAAGGGAGAACAGATTTACTCTGGCTCACAGTTTCGAAAGTTCCCCTTCCATATTCAAAGATTCAAACACAGAAAGGCTCTGCAGGGGAAAGCTGCTCAAGGAAAGCAGAAAGGAAGGGGAGAGCCAGGAAGGGTGATGCACTCTTCCAGGTCTCACTGCATCTCCTAAGAGATAGTAAGTACCTCTTCCAACCACCCCTTCGGAGCACATAGGCTCTGAGAAGAGCCTTGATTTACACAACAAAACCTACCAGCTAGAAAAGTGCATTTCTGTACAAATCTGTAAGCTCAGTTATCCAGCAGGTACAGCATCTTACATGATAGAGTGAGCGTTGGAGGTTTCCCAGGGTGGGATAATAGCAGTGGCAGGGAATGTGCAGGGAGAGTGGAGAACGCTCTCCCTGAGCAGGGACCAGGGAACAGAACCACCCTGAACCAGGCATGGGATGGA